CCCCAAAACCCCAAAACCCCAAAACCCCACAGAGACATCTGAGGATTGAACAACTAAGTTATGGCTGATGGTTCATCTGTAGTAACTGAGATTGAACTGTTGAGGGAGTAGGTGGATAACTGGGATTCTACAGTGGAAGAGGTGATAAGGCTGTAGTTAATGTTGAGGGTTTTGAGGGAGGTTTTGAGAGAGCAGTGGCTGATGGCTTTGATTATGTATTCGAATAGGTGAGGGTTTGAGTCCCAGTTGTGAGTTACTTCGGTATGTTTGTTGCAGTTGAAGCTTAAGAAGTTCATTTTATACTCTTTATCGGCTAGATTTTGTGAATAGTTATTGAGTTTGAAGGAGAAAAAGAAAGTAATTTTGAATGATAATGAAAATATATGCTTCAAGATTAGGGATACTAAAGATATGAAAGATAGGAAGTTGAGATATTCAAGAACGCCAAGATATACAAAGGTTTGTAATAAAGAGAATTCATATTACTTATGTTAAAGTCCATGTTATCTTTAGTATGTGTCTTGCATCTTCTAAAAACCAGTCTCTCAGTTTGACTTGAAATTTTCACAACCTTCTCAAGATTTTCTGAACTAAACTCTAGTTCTCTCAGATAAATTTCTTTGGTGACATTCCTTCCACAATCCAAAAGCCCACTCATAATGGTTGACCCATCTCTTCAAGTAGTATCTCCACCCTTATTAACACATAAAAGTTCGAGTGAATCAGGACTTGAATTCTTTAAGAAAGTGTTAACTTTTCCTAAGGTTTCGCTTGTGAGATATTGAATTTGGATTTTTTTGATATCTGGAAGTTTGATATTACTTGATCCGTATTCTTCAATTAGTTTGACATGTGTTGAATTATTCATAACAAGTTCAAGTTTAAAGGATGAGTTCATGTCAACAGTGCTTCCTATTACGTCTTTGTATGTTTTCTCTCAGAAGGGTTTTAGAAATTTCTTTTTCATTTCTAAATACTCTTCGATGAGTTGTAGATTGTTCTTGCTCTCTAAATAGATAAGAAGTGGGGAGAAAATGGGGTACCTTCTAGAAGAGCCTGGTGATTGCTGTCAAGTTCATCATATCTGGCTTTCGTTTCGTTGAGGTGTTGTAAGGCTTCTGATTTTGATTGTTGCTCTACTAGTATCTCATTTCTATTAAGAAGTTAGAATTATTGGAGCAAAGAAAGAAGGATCTTACTTTTGAGCTTGGAGCTTTTCGTTAAGATCTCTGATTATTCCCTCTGTATCCGAAATCTTTTCATTTTTTATTGTGATTTCTTGGTTCAGTTGCGCAATATCTCTGTCGTACTTCTCTTGATGTTCCTGATTAAGTAGAGTTGTTATCTAAAATTGAGATTAATATCATTGGCAGTACCTCTTGAATCTCTTTTTGTTTCTGAACATCTAGCTCTTTTTTGTGTTTAGCTAGAATATCTCTGAGAGTGGAATTGAAGCCATGGGAGTATAGATGATGGACTCTCTTGGACTCCTCGTCCTTTTCAGGGCAATCACGGCCTAAATCAAATTAGATATTTAGCTTGCCTGTCTTGGGAGCGAAATATCCCAAAGAGAGATTAACTATTTCGCTTTTATAAAATAACTGAAATATTGGATTTTGGTTCTTCTGGTCTCTAAAAAGAATGAGAATTTTTAGGATAGTTGCTTACGCATGAAATTCTCCATTCATGATATCTGACTTAATCCTATGAGCAGAGTGAGTTAGAGAAGTGAAGGTAATATACATTAAGAACAGTTCTTTCCATTAAAAGAGTAAATTCTTAAGTTATTGGTAAAATTCTTTAGATGTAAGTACAATAATTTGAAGACATTCTTAACCATCCACTAAAATTCTGACGAAAATGGTAATGAGCTAAATCATACTTCCTGGCTTCTTGGATAAGAGATGGATACTTGAGAAACTGGTCTTGGCTGATAACCTCTTTTGCTCTCTTCTCGAAGTCTACAAATATCTCAAAGATTATATCTAAGGTTTCCTTTAACCCGCTGATAGTAGAGATGAAGTCGTGCTGTTTGGCCTTCACATTCAATGAAGCAATGAAGACATTGAGAAGCCTCACAGCATCATCAACTTCCCGTGAGCACAAAATTTTCTGCGCTTCTCAATCGAAGTGGCGGGAGTCATAACATCTAGAGCACACTTGTTGCTGATGTTGTTCACAGTAATATTGTCTTTCTCTAAAAGATATTTACTCCAGTTTACCTTTGGCAGCCAGAGGATCCTCATTGAAACCTATAAATCAGATTAGCTGATCTAAAATTCCACTCTCAAAAGATGCAGGTAGTAGCATCAGACCAAACTATTCTTTTGGGGACATCTTTTCCCTCACTGAGCTTGCATAAACTCTAAGATACCTTACATTTTAGGGATGATGTTAGTCATTTTTAATTATTTTATTAACAAAAGAGGGAAGCGCTCAACTCACTATATAGTTGTTGGGGTTTTGGGGTTTTGGGGTTTTGGGGTTTTGGGGTTTTGGGG